TTCTAGAAGAAAGAAGCAAGTATTATACTATCAGAATATATTCATGCTGCAGATATGGACAGCGGGATGAGGTTCACACCAAAATGCACCACCCAACGTGTAAAAGTTGTTTAAAAATTAAAAGAAAATTAATGTAAAAAGTTTGAAAATTTTAAATTTTAACGATAAAGATAAAATAAATGGTAAAATAAATAATAACAGGAATGACTTTTTAATGTAAAAATTTATTTTTCGTTAAAATAAACAGTACCGAGAATTTTTCGTTAAAATTCTCTTAAATTAATCCTCACCCTTAACAAAACAGTAATTTAACTACGAAATAGCAGCCACTCAAAGAATCAAAAGTACTAAACTAACTAATTAAATACAAATTTCTAGTGCCTCCATGTGCTACTTTGTGTTTTGGTCTTATATCACTGCGCATCTTTCTTCTTTCGATGAAATTTCATAATTTGAAAAAATAATAATAATAATAATAAAATGTGACGAATTACATTTACACTTTTTGGGTTTGATGTGATTTTCAAATTAGGTGGTGAAGTTTTAATTATTTCATGTTGCACTATGAGGTTTTTAAATTGTATCAATTTATATTTTTTGTCTTGACCATCATGGAATAATTACATAAATAAAGGAGTTTTACAACATAGAGAAGCCCCTTTAACTCAACAAACAACTCAAAACGTTCTACGTGAAAAATCATCGCTCTACGCGAAACCGTACTCATATTCCTGAGAAAAAATTTCGGACAAGTGTTGGCAACTGGCGACATCTTCAGTTTGAATTAATAGCAGTGGAGCCATAGAACATGCGATTTAAGAGCACCTTCAGTTTGAATCAGTGAATAACACTGCAATTGGTTGGTTGGTTATCTATCCAAGTCTTGACGGACAAAGAACTCTCATTTCTCTCGTCTCAAGAGGTTGTCTCATTAGCTTCAATGAAATGAGGCGTTACCTGGTTACCCTTGTTCGACACAACGAAAGCCTAATCAATTATTAAACTTCACATTGATCTAGTAACTTTGTCTTCAGGTTCTAGAACCCAAGGCTAAGACATGTTCCTTCATCGGCCGTAATTGCTTCGGTGAAAAATTTAGCAGTGTATTTGATACTACCGCCACATCTATTCTATTTGCCCGATCGAGTTTGGTAGCAAGTTGGCACACTTGCATTCATAAGCAAGACATTTGTGCTACCCTGTCCCAAATTTTTGTATTTTATTTCATTTTTAGAAGTATTTCAGAGGTTTTAATTAAAGTTATCTCGTTAAATTGTCCGGTTTTGAGAAAAAAAATGAAATGACGAGTATTTTTGTCATTTCAAATTTCATTCGGCCTTTTGGGTAAACTATTGAGTTGGTTAGCTAGAACTCGAACCCACGAGCATTTTGCGAAATCCGTTTGTGAATTGGACTTGAAACGAAGAAGTTAGAAGCGTTTTAATTTGGAAGGCACTTTGGTCATTTGGACCAAAAGGTGCTATTAATGGAAAATCTGACCTTTAGAAAGTCGACCCATAAGCCATAAGCCATTCCAGATCCCTATCGACCCTAATTCGAAGCACTGACCCGCATGACCAACGTGTTTTTAGATGCGAATTCCGACCAAATCCAACATAACTCTTTTAACGCCATCACCACCATCTTGAAGCTCTCACTTGCTTCTACAAAATCTAGCTAAGAACCAACTCGATAAACCACTACACGTGGCGGTGCGAGCCACAGAAGTCGAGGGTTCCGACAGTGGTCGTAGGAGTGATTCTGCTTGGTTAATCCGCAATGGGGGGTCATTACCTACATGGTTACTTGTTCCCAGGAGTGATTCTGCTTGGTTAACCCGTAATGGCGGACAACATCCTATTTGGTTATCTACTATAAGCCTCGGTCGAATTGTGTCTCTCTAAAGCCTTAGTTTATTCCATATGCGAAAGAAGTGATTGAAGGTCCGTGTGGCTCAATATAGAAATAGTTTAATAAAATATTTACTTGATATAGTGTATCTAAAGTGAATAAATGTGGATGTGACTCCTTCTTAGTTGATACAAAAAGAGATGCAATGATGAAAGATATATTGATCTCATTCCTACATGTGATTGTTTAATGTGTGTCATCTCTATACAATTTCGGGTTATGTGACAATTGATTGTTATTTCGAAAAACATGTTGTGAGGTTCGGAATTAAAAACTATGTCTATACATATTAATAAGGCATATAATGGTTAAATTATGAAATTTGTAGTAATTAGAACTTTGTGATCATTCTGAAAACGATGAAAGGCAAGTGATTACAATCAAAATATAGATCCCAAACATTCTAACATTACATCAAACTTTGACTTGCTGACTTTTCTCTGACTGAATTATTGGTTAGATTGATGAGGCATCCTTCGACCTTTTCACATATTTAACGATGTCATCAAATCTTTAGACAACAATGTATTATACTTACACTTAGTGGGTAGGGAAATAAATTAGTTATGTACTCGTCATTTACAAGATTTGAATTTAAGATCTCAAATTTACAAGTTAAGATGAATACCACAATTTAATTCTAAATCAAACAATAAATCCGATAAAAAATATAAATTGATACAATTTTAACACTTTATAGTGTAAAAAATTAAGAGGAAATTAGAGTTCCCTACAATTTTTCTATATTATCTAGACTAAACTTTTGTGCCTTTTTAAATTTGATTAAAGTGCTTTGAACAATAGCCACCTTAGCATTTTCTATTAAGTTAAATTACATGTCATTATTGTATTATTTGAAATTAAAGTAATTTTTGAATTTATCGTTTTAGTTGCTTGATGCGTTTTTCTTATTTAGTTATTAATATATTTTATCTTCTTCCAAATACGTTTTTTTTATCATATATTTTTTTTGTTCTACATACATTTAACATTATCTCTTTTTCCAAAATGGTTTGTTTTTATTGTATATTTTTTTCCATATAGTTGGTGATCCAACATAAAAAGTTGTGTGTAATTTTTTTTCTATATTTTTGTGAAACTATTTTTGTAACATCCCACATTGTCCAGGGGTGAGGATCCTCTAAGCTTTATATGTATATTCTCATCTCTACCTAGCATGAGGTTTTTTGGAAGCTCACTGGCTTCGGGTTTCATCGGAACTCCTAAGTTAAGCGAGTTTGCGCAAGAGCAATCACATGATGGGTGACCCACTGGGAAGTTCTCGTGTGAGTTTTCAGAAACAAAACAGTGAGGGCATGGTTGGGGCTCAAAGCGAACAATATCATGCTACGGCAGAGTCAAGCCCGGAATGTGGTGGGGGCCCTGGCCGGGATGTGACAATTTTTCTTTGTTTGTTTTACATAAAGGTGTTGATGAATATTATTAGGTACAATGCTTTGTGTATGTATAATATGTGGATATGTTTGAATTTGTAAAAATCGTTGATAGGTACCTTTATTTGCAGTTTTGGACGTTTACTTTGGTACATTATTTTTTATTTTGGGATGTTACGACTTCGTACACATTGTTTATTGGTAATTTATATTGTTGTCAATTCTACTTTCTCTTAATGTACAAAAAGAAAAACTTATTTTGGTGCTTTTGATTTCGTGGGATTTAAATATTTTAAACCTATTTTGAAAAAAAAAAACTTTTAAATCATAGATAATCATTGCTATGTAGGGATATTGTGACAATAAATTGAATCTCATCACATTTTTTTACAATTATCTAAAGAGGGAGAGAGTAATTAAAATACTAGATTATAAGAAATTTGTTTCAATATGATGCGTATTTTTTTCGCATGAGATTTTAGGAATTATGGGGTAGTGGCAGGTCATGTAATTTTGGTATAAAACTTGATTAGTTCTAATACATATAACATTAAAATTTAACCAAAAAATAAATCAAAGCATAGATGTTTAGTCTAAATAATTCAATACCGAAGTGTCTATGTCAAAAGATGTCAATAATTAAATTGAAACGTAATACCTAATGAAGGGTGTAAATTATAACTGGCCATATAGAATAGAATAATATGGATGCATTATCCTTGTAGCTGTAGGTGCCCGACAGAAAATGAAGATCTTGCATGCGAGCACATGTGGATGAGTCAAAAAAGAAAATATATTAAGAAGATTCAAAGAAGGCAAGCAGAGAGAGAGAGAGAGAGAGAGGGAGTAACTGAGACAGGAAGGGGGCATGCGGATTTTGACCACCCATTGAATTAAGTGATCGAAATGAGTTCTGTTTCAGGACACTACTAGTCACAGACTCCACCATGTAATTAACAATCACATTTGTCAAGGAAAGATTGTGTGTAATTGTTAAGTGTTATAATATGTTCCAATGAAAAAAAAAATGTTATATTTTGAAAATTAATATTATAATATGAATGACCAACAAAGTTAATATGTCTTTTAGATTAATAAAAAATAAACACTAAGTACATTTTTTTAACAAAAAAGACTAATTACATTTTATATCTTTAAGTTTGAGGTGATTTTTAAATTAGGCATGAGATTTCAATTTTCTCGCATTATCCTCTATGGTTTTGAAATTGTATCAAAAAACACATTTTCTATATTTGAACATCTCATTATCCATTAAATTGATGAGTTATTAGGTTATGTGGTGCAACGTAGCTTATAAGTCAATCCAATTACGGATTTTATGCTCACCATGTCATAAATTTAACGAAGATTCAAATAATTCGTAAATCAAAATGTGTAAATTGATACAATTTTAAAACATTATGGCTTATGAGACAATATTAGAAAATTAAAACCTCATGACCTATTTTGAAACTCACTTAAAAATAAATAGTGTGAATGAAATGTAGTTAACATGATATAAAATAGGATCACATAAGAAATTCAAAATGATGAAACCTGATGACCACATAAAGTTATAAAAATAAAAAATGTGACCGGAATATTTACATGCTCGACATACTAATATTCGTTTTAATTTATTTGGACTACAGGGGACCCAAATTGCGTGAAAACCACTATAAAAGCAGCATGAAGCATCTCAATTTGCCACCCATCAGTTTCCTCACCAAGTAGAGATCAGAAAAGTACTGCATAGCATCACATTACCAGTGAAACTAATGGGTTCCTTAACACTTCCAAACCTTCCTACCATCAATTTCTCCGTCGATGCCTTGAAGCCTGGCTCAAGTTCTTGGCTGTCCACCTCCAAACAAGTCCGATATGCACTCGAAGAGTACGGTTGTTTCGTGGCGGAGTACAATCAAGTTTCTGCACAACTTCTGAACAATATCTTTGGGCAGGCCAAAGATTTGTTTGAGGTTCCTTTGGAAAACAAAGTGAAGAACGTTAGTAATGAACCATATCGCGGGTATATTGGACCGAACCACCTTATGCCACTCTATGAAGGTATCGCCATTGATAACGTCACATCCCCACAAGAAACTCAGAAGTTCAAAAATCTCATGTGGCCCGATGGAAAAAGCAATTTCTGGTAAGCAGTTCTAGTGTTCTTTGTGTTGTACTTGTTGTTTAAATTAGGAAAAAAAAAAAAAACTCTTGCCAAAATTGTCTACATTCTAAACTGTGAATCTGTTGATCATGTTGATTATTATCTAGATGGTGATCCAATTCCTAGTCCACCAACATAACTAAATTATTTTCTTATTTCTAAAGTCATATTTAGGATTGCTTCTAGAAGAAATAAAGACGCTTTCCTGACGGCGAAAACATTTATGATTGCAACTTGCAGAAAAACATGAAAATAATTCTCGCTTATAAAAGCGCTTTTAGAAGTTGCTTGTTTAATTAATAAACACTGCCAACTGTTTTCTAAAAAGCACTTCTAATAAAAGCATGAGCATAAATTTTACTTGAAGCACTGTCAAACATGTCTAAAAAGAGAACACAACCAATTTCGTTTAAAATGTTTATACATAGTTACAATTTTTTTTTCTTCTTGTTTTGCTGCAGTGAAACTACAGATTCATTTGCCCAATTATTATCAGAGTTGGAGCACAAAGTGGAACAAATGCTATTCGAAAGCTATGGATCAGAAAAGCAGTACGAGTCTGTTGCTAGTGCCAACAGCCACCTTCTTAGATTCCTCAAGTATAATAAACCAGAGGAAGCTGATCGTGCTACCTTGAGATTTGCGAGCCATACAGACAAGAACTTCACCACCATCGTTGTTCAACACGACGTTGGTGGTTTGGAGGTTAAAACCAAGGATGGTGACTGGATTAACATTGAGTCCGCACCTTCACAGTTCTTGTTCATGGCCGGTGATGGATTGCAGGTTTGTTCTCATTCCCATATGATTAAATACCATCAAGTACTTAGTTTTCAATTACTATATGCTAGTGCTACTTAGCTCAACTAACTCCCTATTAATTTTTAAATTATTTTCTTATTTCTAACTTTTTTTCTTCGACGGTATATACCTAATCAATTAACATACACCTTTTTTATATACAAATGTGAGGAAAATAGGTTTCCAAAAAAAAAAAAAAAGTGAGGAAAATACAAAAATGTCAGCCAGTTAGGTAGTAATACACTAGTTTACGCATTGTTTGATGTGGACGTGTGCTACAAATAGTAACAATTTTTGTTTGTTATTTAATTTGGTTTGATCAGGTATGGAGTAATGAAAGAATAAAAGCTTGTGATCATCGAGTGAAGCATTGTGGAGACAAGACGAGGTACTCACTTGGGTTGTTTACATTCAATAACGGAAAAATACAGGTGCCAGAAGAACTGGTGGACGAGAGGCATCCACTGCTCTATAACCCATTGGATAGTCTTGAGTATATTAGGTTTCACAGTAGGGGTGAGGCCAGGAACCTAGTCTCTCCTGTGAAGACCTTTTGCGGTGTTACAAATTCTACAGCCTAATATGTAGGACTGAGGAGGACTCAACCTTGATGCTGGAAAATAATTTTTTTGTGTGTGTTGATTAGTAATAAATGTACTATTAGGAGCAGGAATCTTTCTTTTTAATTATTTAATTTCCAAATGCATGCATTAGCATGTGCTTAATTTGTGGGATTTCATGGCTGCTTCCTTCTTGGAAGAGAGCACTCCAAAATGGAGTATAATAGTTTACATCTATATGTAATAAAGCATTCAACTTTGATTTTCTTCACCGTTCCATTGACTATGGGTAATAAAGCATTCATCTTGGGAGAAGTTTATAATTAAGTAAAAATACTATATATATACATATTTATGGGACGGATTCGTGACATCATTTTTTTCTATACAAGTTTTGACACAAGTTTTTGTGTGGCCATTCCTATTCCGTAATGTATATCGACGATCCAAACCGTCTATCTTTTAGAACGTCATTCATAGATCATCTCTTCAAAAAATTACACAAATAAAAAACCATAAGACATTCATTCATAGTGAAGAAAATGGACGAATACGTTTCTACAAAGAAACCGTAAATCCTTAATTTAATGGGCATATGGTATCAAATTTGTGTGATTTTTGTAGACATGATCTATGATTGATGATCTAAGAAATAGATGGTTAGGATCGTTGGAATACATTATGGAGTGGGCTTCATAAAAACTTGTGTTAAAAATTGTGTAAAAAAAATGGTATCATGAACATGCGCCCAATAGATATACAGACCCTTTATGCAAAGGGATCCCCATTTTTTCCAAAAAATAGGGATTAGGTGTGGGGTACACTCCACATCGAACTTCAACAATTCAAACCGTCTATTTTGTAAGTCTCGTTTCATTGATCATCCTTACAAAAAATCAATTCAATTTGAAATCATTTGCCTATTTAATTATCATAAATAAAATTTCATTGTTTCCTATATATATCACAAAGTATTCGTTAATTTTTTTGAACTCAATTAGATGTCTTAAACATTTTTGATTTGGCTAATACTTTGCCAAGATAATTTATGAGGTGCAACTTGAAAATAGACGTTCGGATTGTTAAAGTTTGATGTGGTATGAATTCCACAACTAATCTCTATTTTTATAAAAATAAAAAAATTGGAATCCCTTCCCTTAGATGTTTCCTCTTAAACCGATATCTTCTAGATGTGTATATGTAATGTCATTCATAAATAAATTATCGTGCTTTTCTTCTTTTTTTTTTTTAAAAAAAAACTTTGACACAAAAAGATGAAGCACTAAATAAGACAAGGTTTTTGAATTATTAAAGAGAACAAATTTGATCACTGCCTTTAGATCATGAAAAAGTTTAGCATTTACAGTTATTATACGTATCAAATAATGATAAGAGAAATAAGCCTTTTTTTTTTTTTTAAAATAAATGATATTATCTACACTAAGAAAAAATGATGGGTTTAACCTCACAATAAGCTAACAATAATGTGGATCAAACATAAGCCTCTTACTTACAAGTGAAAATGAATATAACAAAATCATAGTACTAAGTGGCAGAAATAAACCATTTAATAATAAAAAAAACTTATTTACTTTTCAGTTACACCTTTAAAGGGCAGTGTCACTCAAAAGAAAAAAATAATAATAATCCTATCAAAATTTGGCGTACAATGAAACGACTTGTAAAGGTATGGTTTTTGTTTGAACATATTTGTATCTATTAAGATGGGAAGTGAAGGCCAAAGTAATAATCCAATGTGCAATGAAGATATGGAGGAAGAGCCTGAAGAAGTATTGTACCCATTGCGAACTCTATTTTGCTTAAAGAAGGGATCCCGAAACATCAAACAGGACGAGTTATAAGTGATCCACTATGAAACTCGAGGTATGGATATAAATTCAATTACGTGATAAAGATGATTTGAAAAATCCACAACCGATAAATGTGGACTTAAATTTCAAGATTGACTGAACAAGTAAGGGGTGCAAGAGTCGTCAATCAAGAAGGAATTAAATTATAAAATTTCATATTTGATTTTTACTTGTGATCTTGTTTTCATGATTGTACCATCTAGGCACAAAGAAGCTTGGACTCCTTGAGTTGAAGAATTTATTTGCTGATCAAGCTACTTGTCTACTTATGATCAAATTCGACTCAAGGAAAACTCGAGGTCAAGTTCTTTACAAGTGATAGGGGTGATCCGATGTAAGGATGGGAAGCATTAAAGACAGATGTCAAGCATTGAGGTAAAACACAGAGAGGTCACAAAGAATTTTAAGTGTAGAATATTTGGTCTCGCTGGAGAGTGGGCTTAACAGCCCTAAAAAAATTTGTGATGAAGAAAAATCGATTAATAGCTTGTAAATAAGTGGTATGGGGTTTGTGTTTGTGAGCATATCTTAAGGGCAAATTAACATGTTAATTAATTCAGTTTCCGTGGCATGTGCTACAGTACTAGTATTATCAAGGTAAAATGATAACATTATTATATATGCTATAGAAAGCCTTCTTTAAAAAAGTTAAAATCCCATCGAACTTTTAGAAATTGGCTTAAATAATTTTAATCAAATTTCAATTGCTAAACAACTAAAATTAAATATTAACAACATAATGATCAAGTATTGATAACACAACAATGAAATATTGACAACTTGACAACATATATAAATATTATAAATCAACGACATACTGAAAAACTGACCATTTCTGCTATTAGAATTTGAAAATTGATCATTTGGCCAATTTCTCTTAAATGTTTTACACTTCTTTTATATTTTTCTTTTTACATGAACTTGAGGAGAAGTTTTCAAGCAGAAGCTAGGGTTGCTTGCTAATAGCAGAAAGAGTTACTGTTGGTGTGCCTTGTTTGATCTGAAACTGTTGGCTGAAACCAAGATTTGCCATGAGAAGGCACACATGTGTAAGAAGCTCTCCTCCATGCCTAAGCTGTTGCGCGTGCTCCTTCCAACTGCATTGACTTGCTGCGTAACACAACATCTCTATCCACACTTGGCTTATTATCCCCCATTTTTCTTCATTACTCTTTCCCTCCTCGGTTTCCAATGCCATCAACTGTTTTGCAAGCCTACACCCATCAAACAACACTGTCTTGCTTCTATCACCAATCACCATTGCCGGAACTAACTCCGTGTTCACCTCAAGCAAAACCTGCCTGGCATGGCCTGCCCCTTTGGTTATGACTTCTCTTCTCTTTTCAAAAAACTCTGTGGCCTCTGTGCACGTGTCACGAAACCTAATCTGCCCAATTCCCTCTGGCAACATGAAGGGGCTGAAGACGAGAATGTGCATCATATAATTTGAGAACAACTTGCTCACCTTGGATTTGGAACTAATTAGAGATGGATCTTGATTTATACTTTCAAGATCATTGTTGAAGCATAAATCTGTTGCAATGTGCCATAGAAGAATGCTTTGGTCTAATGAAGCTTCTTCCACACTCCAACCAAACTTTTCGATACAGTTACTCTTTTGAAGAGCATGAGTGCCTCTCCAATCCAAGACTTCACTGGTTGCAACATTTTCTCTTTGAGCATCTTGGAGTTGCGCAACAATAAGCTCTCTCATCTCAGTAGGGACATCCTCCTTGGCTGTGTACCAATATTTCTCTAACATGTCATAGATGTGAAGGAGTTTGAGAATTCTAGCACACTTCGGGGGATTCTCTTTGAAACAAAAATCGATGAGATTGTATTGTGCCACGGATTCAGACCAATTTTTGTCGTAGCCCCAGCTTGATCTAAAGGAAGAGATTGCTTGATAGACACGAGAAGCAAGTGAGTGCGTCCGCTTGCTTAACCAATGGAGTGTCCAATCTGTACAAATTAGTACAATGATGGCGTACAACTCAAGAGCAATGGCTCCGGCAGACAATAAGTAGGTGAGAGTTATATCAACGGTGGAATAAAAATGCTTATCAACAACAGAGGCAAAGACTACAAGTGTGGAAATGGAGCAAAGAAGGTTGATGAAGCAAAAAATAATACCCGGGCGAGAATACACAACAGTTGCCTTTGTGTATAACACATCATAAACAAAACCAAGCTCAACCTCTATTACTTTGAGGACTTCTTTCGGTGAATGACCCTGAAGCACTTCACTGCAGCAATTGCGATCATTGTAGTCCAGGATGAGATCTGCGTAAAGGCGCTTAAAGAGGTCGAACAATTCAAATGCTTCGTGGAGATATCTGGCTTCGGAAATAACAGGATTGATCCGCCCAACACGAAAAATACCTTCACCACCTGTACTTCCAATTGCAACCTCATCTCCTCGAGCTTTGATAGCGCTATATTCAGCTGCATAATTGGCATAACCACGACCTGGATTCGGAGCAGGGAGCAAGGAGTCACGCAATGTTCCACTGCTTGCAGACCGCAGGGCCCAAGTCCGCTCTCCATACTTGGTAAGTCCAACAACAAATACTGGTATTGCTAGCAATGAGAGGGGGTACGTGCTCGGCGTCCAGTATCTTAAAAAGATGAAAAAAGCCACTTCAACCTGGACAACTAAACCCAGCAGGTGCCTCAACCAAAGCTCATTGTCCTCCAACGCGTAAGCAGTGATGGTGTCTGGACCGCCAAGGTGCACGAGAAGAAATGGCGCCCAGAAAGCCATAATGGTATGGTTGTTTGGATGTGGGGAGCTTTCTTGATCGTCTACTTGGAAGCTGGATATCATTCCAAGCGTGACAGTAGCAACCCAGTCCGCTGATAAGTACGCTGTCCAAATGACGATTCTGATCCAAGTTTTAGCGCTGTACTTTCTTCGGCTTCCCAACACCACTAGGACAGTTTGTAAGCATAGGCTGCAGAGGACCAGGAGTCGGAGGTTCCATTTGTTCCATAGGTTTCCCACACTTTCTGGAATAATTCTAATTTCCACCATTTTTGTAGTTTATGAATGAAATTTAATGCGTAAGATGTGGTAAGAAATGAGAGAACTATAGGGGGAAGAGAACACTGAAATAACATATATAGCATGGTATTACAATTCATTCACAATATAACACCATATCATATGCCATAACATACATGTATTAACTGTATCGTCTACTCATACTATAACACGTGATGTACATCACTTGACGGTATTCCCTATCAAAATTTCTCGACAACAACCACTAGTACTTGATTTAACAGCTTAGCCCGTTGGTGGTACCAAAAATTTAGGGGTGTGATATCCACACACCCTATTTTACTTCTCACATACCTTCTTAATTTTCGGCCGTTGGATCGGATGAATTGAAGAAGATCAACGGACATAAATTATTAAAGGATGTGTAGGAAGTAAAATGAGGTGTGTGGACAACACACCCCAAAATTTATACAAGTTTTAGTATTAAATTCGTAGCCATGTGGTTTGTTCCTGAATTGTGGCATTTTATTTTAAACATCATGTACATTAGTCCTCAACATAATATAAAAAATAGATGTAGCTACCACACTTGCACATACAATAGCGTGGATTGTGGCATTTTATTTTAAACATCATGTACATTAGTCCTGAACTTAATATAAAAAAAAAACAGATGTAGCTTACCACACTTGCACATACAATAGCGATAAAAATCGAAAGTCTTGTAGGCTCTTCTTCTTTCTTTTCTTTTTTCAAGAAAGAGGACCAACTGGTGGCTTTGCCACTGCAGTACACCCTATAGGGACTGAGAAGACTCAAAGAGACATTTCAGCCTCCCCAGCTAGCATCGTGTAATTCACCAGCGTTAGAAATCGAAAGTCTTGCAGGTTTTTCGGTCCTCATTATTTTACGAGTTTGCTCATCACTTGCCTTTTTCTCTATAACAACTCTTAAGCATTGATATTTGTTGGTTTTTTTTTTTTTTTTTCAAGAAAGAGGACCAACTGATGGCTTTGCCACTGCAGTACACCCTACAGGGATCGAGAAGACTCAAAGAGACATTTCAGCCTCCCCAGCTAGCATCGTGTAATTCACCAGCGTTAGAAATTGAAAGTCTTGCAGGTTTTTCGATCCTCATTATTTTACGAGTTTGCTCACCACTTGCCTTTTTCTCTATACCAACTCTTAAGCATTGATATTTGTTGGTCTACATTTTAATACAACCGTTGCTGTGATATACCACCCAAGTCAATGACAAGTTTTAAAATTAAACACATAAATCTAGCTACATTTCCAACTGTAGCAAAGACTAGCTAGTAGCAAAAGCATATGATAGCTTAGGTGGTTATTTTTAAAATTATGCTGTTAATCACTTGCTTATAGCACAAGAAAACGAATACGTCTCCGTCTTCGACCCTTTCGTCACCTAACGGACTGGTGGTTGGCAGTGGCACACATTTTATTATCTAATTGAGCAGCAAGCACAACAACAAAAGTTCGACTTACGTTCTTTCATTTCGGAGCGAAAAAATGAGGAAAATGAAGTTACAGGATTACCCGAGAGAGCTAATCTCTTGACGTATACTGTATTCTTTTGTGCTTGAGGCCAAAGGGATTAGAACTATTGCCTTCAGACGTGAGGGGTATAATGGTCTTACTACTACTGGAGTAGAATACGTGAAACCGGAACTTGATACAATACACAAATTAGAGAGGCGGTACAAATGTGGTAAGTGTAGCATTACTCAGGCGAGTCACGCTTTCATCCTACAATACGATAAATTTATATGAATGCAAGGCTCCAATGCCGTGTACAAGTGATGTGTAAAGTATGAATTTACCATTCTTATGTTCGTGATTCGAGCCTTCCGAGATTACCTGTTTCCAAACACAGACTAGACACTTCTGCTTCTTTACCTAGTGAACATTTTGATATGCGAAGAACGCCGAGCAAATGCGTTTCATAAACTTTACAAAGAAAACTGTGCTACTTTAACCAATTTTAGTATGAAGGGGGTTGAGCTGATTGCCTTTGCATTCACCGCACGGTCATGGGGCCATCTTGTTTCATCTTGATGAGGTTGCTTTCAATGTTTCGCAACACTGGTTTATAGCTGCAACTCGTCGGATGAAATTCATGTTAGCACGAAACTTATAAGAAGAAAACGGAGGGAGGAAAAGAGGGAGAGGGAGCTTACAGGCGTGCAAGCCCATTGTATGCTTGGGTAGCTTGTTGGAGTCGTGCGGAGAGCTGCAATACTTCAGCTGATAACGCTTCTGCTCTGCTCTGTTCTTTCGCAAGTTGATCCTACAAATAAAAGCACGGATGAAACTCAAAAAATGATGCCAATTAATGAAAGCTAAATGACCCCCATCCTGAATCTTTAATCAAAGCACCATGGAAAGTTCAAATATAGTTTTTTTCATATCAAAAAACAAATGAATAAAACTTCTTTCTGCTAGCTGACTAACCTTGATGGAGAGAACTTCAGTTGTATACGCAGCTGAACCAGTCTCATTGGCCCCGCCTTCATGGGATTCTAGTAACCCCTTGGACTGGTCGGTTCTCAACCTATCTATAGTTGCACGGAGCTCTTCATTATGCTTAAGACAGTCTTTCACCTGCATATTCACATGCCAAAAATTAAGACATTTCACGAAAATACAAAAGCTGCAAACATGAACCAGATTAGTTAGATTCGCTAGTCAAGCATAGTAAATGGTAAGACCTCCGTATCCAGTTGGCAATTGTTTAATGAGAAACCAAAGAAAGACATATTATTAGAAAAAAATAATACTGGATAATTTTACATATAGCCAACATTCTGTCAATCTCTGTGCTAAGCCATTGACAATTACCTGATTCTCCCAGTGCCCTGATATGCTCATTGCTTGCTGATAAGAATTCGAGAGATCAGAATTTTCCTCGAAAAGCCTTTCTATCTCCGAAGATTGGGAATCAATCTGCCACCAAGTACAAAAAGTGAGTTTTCTGCCAAAAGACAAATACACCACCAAAAATTAAAAAGGGTTCCTATTGGAATTATAAAAGAGAGTGTTGCAAAGATAACCTCTATCAAAAGTTTTTGTCTACTACTTTCCAATCTCTCAATCACTACTGCCATGTCATGCAACTGCTTCTCAAGTTTCTCCTTGTCTTCCTGTTCATTAATGCATTGACCCGTAAATAAAATTAATAATTTATTAAGGAACAACGGGAAGAGAGGACACTCATATTATGGTAATAGTAACAGTGCCTCCTGAGAGGAACTCATTAAACCTGACAAATGTAAAATTTCTAGGTCATCATGAAATGGACTTACGAGTGAAAATTCCTTGCCAGCCACTTTCTCTGAAACTTCTGCAGTGCAAGAACCACGGGCATAACAACATTCATAAGATCTAACTTTTTTGTAAAATGCCACCATGCAGCAAAAGAATCATGGAAGGCCAATAGAACAACAAAATTGACAGAAGCGTAAACGGGATATGGGGAATTGCAACACCATAGATGGTATTCAAGACTAAACAATTTTACTTGGAATCTAGAACTCAGAAGCCAAAAGGGTTTCCAGTTGCGACTCCAAGTACACTGAACCCATGAGCCGCCATGGATTTCCATTTATGAATCTTAAATTAGATATAGAGGAAGTATGAATATAGTGCCAAATATGCAAACAAGAAGAAAAAACTACTAAGAGGAAAAATTCAGGCCAATAACGGTCAATTTGTTTGACTTTTCTAGACCAACAATGTTTATGTACATTTGTTCCTTAGCCTCTTTCACATCAGACCGTGCGGCCCCCAAGATTTAAAGGAGGCTTCCTAAAGTCCTCTCCATTTTATAACTTGAACATCTGAAAGGAGATTTTCTGAAATTCTTTATGGTGTAGAAATGTACATTTGGATGGTTTTGGTACCTGAAGCCTTTCTAGACATAGCTGCAAGCTTTTCCTCCAATTCCTGCTTTACAGATGTAAGGGTGGATGCCCGGGCTTGCTCCTCTGCTAATTGTTGTCTCTCTTGCTGCCTCAAGTGTGACTCTTGCTACAAGAAATTTACCACAGTTGGACACCTATAAACAATGCACCAGTTGGGAAATTGGGAAACTACAAATATTCCAACAAACAAATTATCACCTGTAACGCAGATTTTAAGCTAGCCAGCTCCTTTTCTAACATTTGCATCTGATCTGGTGAATTAGAAATTGAGTTCATTGCACTAAGTGAACCACTCATTGCTTGTTGCTGTAACATATTCAGTTCAGCTCTCAAAGCGGCTGCATCTTCCTCAGCCTGTTGCAAGACAACAAGTGAGAAAAGCATAGAAAGATACTGTTCCAAAGGTATTTAATAGAGAAACTAATTGCATACTCGATACTGTTCTTCTTCTGCATCCTTTAACCGTTTCTTGAGCGTACGAAGCTGGGCTGAAAGATCCTCCTACATTAAGAAATCAAATTGTGAGAGTGAAATAAAACAGAATGAACCAAGTGAGATGAAACACCAACTAAAATATAGATGGTCAGTACCCGTGCAACAACTGCCGCATCTTTCTCCATTGCAACATCCTTGAGAGCTTTTCTCAAAGACGGTACAGTGTTTTTCTCCTGCAATTTACACAAAGTATTAGATGAGAATAGGCTGAAAAAGTTAACAAGGAATGCCCTTTTTTCTTTCCTATAGCTGCACATTCATTGTTTCTACGGACCATGAAACGAAGACAAGACATAAAATATGGAAAGATAGAGTTGAGAATACATTAATGCATAAAAAGACATACTCTTTACTGGGAAAAAAATGTGATGATATTTAAAGGTGTCACATTTACCAGATCATTTAAACGTTTCTGCAGCACATCGCCCCCGGCTTCCTTTGTTTCAAGCTGAAATATCAAGAGGGCAAAATAATTGCGCATCAAAAAATTGATCGTGAAAGAAAACCAATACCCTCGTAAAATCGAAACTAAGAATCAAACAAGCAAACTACAGAAACAATAGTCTTACCATGGAAGCCAAGTTTTTGTTTTGC